CCTCCGGAGCCCAAACCTCCTTCCACAGCCCCAGGGCCACTCAAAAGGCCACCCAAGTTGGACGAGGCAGCGGCACTTCCCTGGTGTCTTCAGAGCGAGGAGCGGTCAATGCCTGTGGGGCAAGAGAGTGTGGGAGGCCGTAACCCCCACCCCCAGCAGGCACTGGTGCTGGGCTGGGCACCCTGCATCATGGCCCTCCATCCCTGGCTTGGATGCAAGTCCTGGGATGGGAGGGGGGCTGGCCCGGAGGGAGACATCCCGGTGGCCCGTTGCGGCTCCTGACACAGCCAACCCAACGGGCACCAGGGATGAGGCTGAATGATGGCACGGTGATAGGAACCAATCCCAGTCCTGTTCTTTGTGGAGCAACTGGGCGCTGCTGGGGGAACTGGTGGGCCAAGCCTGTTCCCCACCACCACTCCAAAAAAAGCACCTTTGGGAAGCAGCTGGGCGCCAGGGCCAGCTCCCCCCTAAATGGGTGCCACGGTGGGTGCCAGGGCCATGCCCATCCATCACCAGTGAGGACTCACCAGGCAGCAGGTGAGCAGAGCCAGGGGCAGGTGGCCTGGAAGTGAGCCCTGTCCCTGGAGTAAGCAGTTTTGCGGCCACCACAGGTGAAGGGGGTGGAGGGCTCTGCCAGCCATGGCCCGTGGGTCAGCCACACTATGCACATGGCTAGTGGTGGGCAGCATGTCTGGGGTGTGTGAGTGGGGGTCCGTCCCCTCTAGGTCCCCCAGGAAAGGCACTGGAGAGGCTCAGGCCTCAGGGGCGGCTTTGAGGCGAGGTCAAAAAAGGGCTTTTCACTTGGGATGCGTCACACCCCAAAACCCTCATCCAGCCCAAAGCCCAGGGACCTGCAAATCCTGCATCCCATACACTCCCTGGATGGCGGTCTAGTGGTGTCCCCATGGCAGGTGCCCACATCCTTCCTCACGGACACCAGGGATCAGGACCCCAGAGGGGAACCCCTGTGATTCTCATTTTCCCAGGGACAAGTAGCACCCAGGTCCTGCCATCCCCACCTGGGCACCCAGCACTGCCAGACTCCAGCTCCAGCCCCCTCCATCCCCTGGGCTGGTTTGGCTGGGGTGGAGGTGGGTGGCCCGAGCAGAGAGGTGATGAGGTGTGGGTGACCCAGCAGTGGGGAGGGGACAGGCGCGCAGTGGCGGGGGACGGCGCCTACCTGAAGTGGAGAGAAATGGAGGGTGCAAGTGGAGAAAGACGGAGCGTCGCGGGCTAAGAGTTAAGAGCATCGATACCTGCAGGAGTGAGCACAAGGGCCTGGAGGATGTCAGAGAGGGAGACGATGCCCCGAGGGTACTGGTTCTCATCCACCAGAACCAGGCGATGGACCTGTGGGTGCAGGCAGAGCATCACAGGCGGGTCGGGCAGCGGGCGAGGGGAGGGGGCTGGCACTGATGCGAGGCCCCCCGGCCGCTCACCTGCTCCTTGGCAATGCGGTCAATGATGTCCTCCATGGTTTCGTGAGGGTAGCAGGTGAGGACCCCCTCCAGGCAGGTGGTGCGCTGCCGCAGTGCCTCCCGCACGCTGATGTCCAGGTTGTTGTAGGTCTTCTGGGCTGCCAGGTGCTGCGGGAGAGGTGGTCCTGCTCAGCGCCCCAATGTGTCATCGCACCCTGTCATGCCGGCACAGTGGGGGACACCAAGCCCTGGGGACGCCTGGGGCAGATCCACGCTGGCACGTGCGTGTCGCTGCACATGGTGTGGGTTTGCATGGGCACAGGCAGGGGTG